AGTCTCTCACCATCTAAACCTGCCAAACTCACACAGGATTGGAAATCATACCATATGTCATTCAACTTGCGATTTGTAACTTTAATTGCATTGCACTGTTCTGATATTTCCTTGAACTGCAATGAATGCCTCATCTCAGCACCTTTTGTCCATCGGTTCACAACAAGATGTCTTGGTATTTTTGTTACATCAGCTTGGTTCAGTGCAAAAAAATCATGTCTACATACTATACTCATTTTCTCAAACATCCTACACGTACATTGCACGTCATTGTTCAAAACAACGTGTTTCACCTAAAATTCAAAAAAAAAATGTATATTAGCACCGAATAAAAAAATAAAATGACAAGCGCATGAAATGGTCACTGAATCTCAATTCAGTGGTGTGAATCAAGATTCACTTCATTGAATCGCAATTCACTCTATTGAATCGCGATTCAATTTTTATTTTTTCAATCTCCATTATTAAGTTTTACCTCAAATATTTTTCCATGTCTCTTTTTGTCCTTTATGGAAAAAATCTTCACGCCATCTTCTTCTGATATACTGTTGATACTCATATCATAACAAGATGACATTATCTCACTCTGTACCTCATAAAACATTGTTCGCGTGTACACATCTCAGCACCTTTTGTCCATCGGTTCACAACAAGATGTCTTGGTATTTTTGTTACATCAGCTTGGTTTAGTGCAAAAAAATCATGTCTACATACTATACCCATTTTCTCAAACATCCTACACGTACATTGCACGTCATTGTTCAAAACAGCGTGTTTCACCTAAAATTCAATAAAAAAATGTATATTAGCACCGAATAAAAAAATAAAATGACAAGCGCATGAAATGGTCACTGAATCTCGATTCAGTGGTGTGAATCGAGATTCACTTCATTGAATCACAATTCACTCTATTGAATCGCGATTCAATTTTTATTTTTTCAATCTCCATTATTAAGTTTTACCTCAAATATTTTTCCATGTCTCTTTTTGTCCTTTATGGAAAAATTCTTCACACCATCTTGTTCTGATATACTGTTGATACTCATATCATAATAGGATGACATTATCTCTTTCTGTACCTCATAAAACATTGTTCGAGTGTATAACCCTGCTGCATCCCTCTCCAATAACAATGGCGTGTCCATTCTTGGCATCGACTTTGTTCCTTCATAGTTTAATCTTGCGTTTGTATGCCTTTGCTTATCCATAGCACTCTCGTATCGGAGATAAAATTCTATCAATGTGTCAGATCTACGGTTGAATTTGTCAAAGAAACTGTTCTCACTCTCTAATATTGTAGTACGTAATAAACCAGCCATTGGATCATCAGCATAATAGGCTAGAATCCATGACTCCCGAATGTTATACAGTTCACACAACCATTCATTACTTTCAAGCTTAAATTCTTTCATAACATCTTTCCAACCTACTTCAAATATTGCTGGATCTATATCTATACTCCAAATCAGTGCATTGATCTTCCTCTTGAAATCATCCATCTTCGAAATGTATTTTGCCAACTACAATATAATTATATAACGAAAGATTCAGTATTTATCTAATGAGGATTCATGATATTTATATGTGGGATTCATTACCTTTTGGTTAAATTTCTTCATGATGTGCCACATGCACAAACGGTGACGTGCTTCTCTAAAGACGGTTGGTATAGCTTGCTTCATGGCAGGGCACTGATCTGTAACAATACACTTTGGCTCGCGAATCATGCATTTCATGAATATCTCAAAAATCCAGACATAGTTATCAATGTCCTCTTTAGCTATCAATCCTGCTGCAAATACAACACACTTCTTATAATTGTCGAGACCAGTGAATAGAACAAACTTCATGTTGTACCTATTGTATCACATACAAAAAAATATAAGATTTACTATGTTATATAATTCTAATATTGAAAATCGTAAGAGATTAACTATAAAATCTTACTTGTTTGTGGAATATGTAGAGTCAAATGATATCACATCTCCAAATACATCGTAATTTCTTCGTCCAATAACATCTGCCCAAAAAATGTGAGTTAATCGACCCCCTTCATCGACTACATAATCATAGAAAAATCCATCACACATCTCCTTCTTATCCGTGAACTTCTCGATGATCATTTGAGCATCTCGATCACCAATATAAAGCTTCACATCCCTACTCCAATTTTTAAACTCGGTACACGTAGCACCAACATTAGAATAACTTCCACACAACTCCTTAGCAAAGTTATATGTTTTGTTAGGCCCCATGTTGACTTTTGCACCATCAAATACAAGTTTCTTATGTGCGAGACCGAGAACTCTATTTGACTTCAAAAATTGTTTCCCACTCCAGGACACCAAAAAATGAGAATGCTCTTCAACGAATGAGAGAACATTATATCCTTTCAAACCATCGAACTTCAAAACGACTTTAGCTTTGCAACCACATCTACTAGATATAGTTCTCCTTCTCTTTTTCGAAATGCTACTAAAATCCTCAAAATCAACATCCATCTTTGATTCATTGCTGCCAGCTCTACTGCAAACAATATGTTTAAGAAGAACTGTACCGTCCTCATGTTTCTTCTCTGTATGCCGTCTGATCTCAAACCCACTTTTAAGTCCATACTCTCGGTAAAACTCTATACCATCCTCTAGTGATCGGAAGCTTTGGTTTAGATAAGGTTTAAATTCAGCTTTAACCCGAGGTTTCCAATACATACCACCACCTGGTGATTGAAAAGGAATCGAGCTAACTTCGTCCATTCCATCTTCCCCAAAATCACTGTCTGATGCATTTATAACATGTGGTTCCTTTATTTGTTTATTGCTGCTTACAATTGAAAATAAAACAACATAAATTATATGGCTAAGTTTTGATATACTGAATCTGGATTCATTACAATGAATCTGGATTCACTGGAGTGAATCTCGATTCACTGCATTGAATCCAGATTCACTGCATTGAATCCAGATTCACTACAGTAAACATGTGAATTCAATTGAACACGTTCTAGTTGTTAGAGACTGCAGTGATCATAATGTATTCACATGCTTACTGTAGTAAATCTGGATTTAATGCATTGAATCTAGATTCACTACAGTAAACATATGAATACATTATGAAAATCACTGCAGTCTCTAACAACTAGAACGTGTTCAACTGAATTCAAGCTCTCCAATTAAATTTACATAAAATGTTTAAGAATGTAAACTCCTAGATAATAAGTCATATGACTAAGTTTTGATATACTGAATCTGGATCCGTTACAATGAATCTAGATTCACTGCATTGAATTCATATTATTGCTAATTAATCTGGAGTGAATCTCGATTCACTGTATTGAATCCAGATTCACTACAGTAAACAAGTGAATAAATTATGAAAATCACTGCAGTCTCTAACAATGAATCTCAATTCAATGCAGTGAATCTAGATTAACAACTAGAACGTGTTCAACTGAATTCAAGCTCTCCATTTAAATCTCCATAAAATGCTTAAGAATGTAAGCTCCTCCTAGATAATAAGTCATATGATTAAGTTTTGATATACTGAATCTGGATCCATTACAATGAATCTGGATTCAATGGAGTGAAACTCGATTCACTGCATTGAATCCAGATTCACTACAATATACATGTGAATACACTATGAAAATCACTGCAGACTCTAACAACTAGAACCTGCTCACCTGAATTCAAGCTCTCCATTTAAATCTCCATAAAATGTTTAAGAATGGCCAGCTGATGGACGATGAAGGAGAGAGCTGAAGAACGATGAAGGACAGCTGCTGATTGTGGAGTGACTAGAAGACGATTTCTCGATTGAGAGAGAGCTGAAGGGCGATGAACGAGAGCTGCTGGTTGTGGAGTGAGAGAGCTGCTGTTCGTGACTGTTGGGTTGCCTGAGCCGTGAGATTGCATAGGGAAATGGAAAACTACACTTGCATGGAGAACTCAACAGACAAGCATTAATTACCACTCTTTGGGGGCTGTTAATTTTACCTAATTACCCTTATGCAGCTTTAATCTCAGCCATTGGATGAATCTAGATCCAATGGAGATGATTGGTTTTTAGTTTTTAGGATAGTGAGGTTTTTATTTGAACATCTCCCTATATATATATATATATATATATATATTTGTGTGTGTGTGTGTGTGTGTGTGTGTATATACACACACACACACACACACATATATATATATAGACACACACATATGTGTGTGTCTATATATATATATGTGTGTGTGTGTGTGTGTGTATATACACACACACACACACACACTAACCATCTTCACTATGTTTTTTGCACTTATTTTTCTAAGACGCGTCAAATGTGCATGAACAGACTGATTGAGCTTTATTGATCTCTCTCATTATAATTGCGTGACTGCAGTGTTTGGTTGTTAAGTCATGACTGACTTGATTTCCATAGAGAACTTAAACCTAAGATTTGCTGGAGTCTCTTTCTGATATGGACAAATGGAAAGGAGATGACATGAAGGTTTTGTGTTTCTTGTTATGCTTGAATAATGACACTCCAGTATCATTAGGTGAGATTTCATAGCCTAGGTATCTATTAGATTATTGATGTAGGGTGGTTAGCATGTTGATTTCATGTGTAGTTTGTTGACCAAGAGGCTATTTGAAAAGGTAAAATATCCATTCAAAGGTTGTTATTAGTAATACAATTTTTAACATTTTACGCTTTTCCCCTCGTCTCTTTGAGAAAGTCATGTTTCTTACGTAAACTGTACATGGACTTGTGTATTAACAACCGCACCGCACCTTAAAGAACACAGCAATCAAACATCAACAGTGAAAACGGTGACAATAACGAAAAAAGAAGCTTCAAAACTTTTAAATTAGTTAAAGAGAAGCCAAACTGATCACTGATAATTAACTGTCGAGCTCCTATGGTCCTTTTGGAACCACATTTAACTCACGTATATAACTTGCCACTAGAAACCACCATCATAGAATTAAATATGGGCCAGAAACCCCAACAGAAATCATCAAGAAAGTTATCTTATCCATAATTTCCAAGCAAATGTCTGCTAACAATAAAATACAGGAATATCAAACTGCAGAATGGATTCAATAATATAATCTGTGTAGGTCTTGAATTTTTTTCAAGCGCTTGCCCCTTACACATGCCCCATAATACATGTTACGATACTTGAATGACTGGGGGAAAAAAAAAAAAAAAAAAATGTTGGGTTAATAATGAAGTGCCAGATTGTTGCCCACCTTCCATATTGTATGTTGGAACCCTGCTGTGTTCCTCTGCTGGAAAAAGAAGGAACATGTATTGATTGATTCATCTCTGCTGGAAAAAGAAGGATGAAGAATTAACAGGCATCAAGATCTCTGCATGGTGGTGGCTTTGGCTCCCTCAGCAAACTGGTGTTGCCTCCAGCAGGACCGCTTCTTATGCGCTCCGGATTTTGCGTGCCAACCTGTAAAGAGGATTCAAATTCACAGTTGTCCCTGAATTCTTATATTGGTTCCCTCATCTATACCTTCAACAGCACTTGGCTTCAAGTCTTTTAATAGCACTTATCATTCCCGGATTGGCATTTTGAGAAGGATAAATTGCAAACGGGCACCTCTTTTATTAAGGCTGATAATTGCTAATAAATGAAATGAAGGGTGATACGTGTTCCCGGAGGTATAGATATGAGGTTGTATGCAATTTAGCCCGTTATATTTATTGTGTCTGGATTGTTAACTCTTTTGAGTTAAGATACTTACAGGTGGAGCTTCTCCCCTCCGCAACATCTCGACCATCTCAACAACTCGCTTGGGAGTGACATCCTCCTGAATACAAATAAAAATAAACCATCAAAATACTTCAATGAAATCCATCAAATTTTGTTATATTAAGTCTTTTCTTATTATTCACCTCTAACTTCCTCAGATTACAGTGCATTCTGTTATCAGTATGAAAGGGTGTACGTGAAATTAATTGAGTCAAGTATCATTTGTCATTTAATTGTGAGCAGCTTGAAATTAGCTTCTAATCAAATTGAACTTTAAAAGGGCATGTCTAATTTGGTTTGTTATGCAGTGACGCATTAAACCAGTTTAGTTTGAACTTGAAATCAGCTTGTTAAGGATTAGTTTATGTGATACTGGCCGAAATTCAATCTTGCGCTGATGTGGCTTATGATACGTTAAGAGAGTTGACCAATAACTTCGTCGTTTCTCAACCAAATACAAGAGAAAGTATTAGTCATCTTTTAAATTTTAAGTAAATCAGTCATCAAAAAATTGCCAGGTCATTGAGATGAGGCTAGAAAAAGAGAAACCAGAAGATCACAGCTCTTAAGAAGAACTGTGAAAGCCAAGATTGATGATCGTAAAATATTCATTCATTACTTGTGCTCACCTGAAAGGAAAGATGATCTGTTAGCTACATATATAAATGCAATTCTTTTAGTTGTTAGCTGTTCCAGGTGTTGCCATCAGCATGCACAAAATATTAGCAGGACAAAGGGCTAAACAGCTTAAAATATGGTCCTGGGGAAAATATAGCGCAAAGTAGAGAACAACCTTGGGAACCTTGAACAGGAAAAGCTCTCATAAGAAACTAATCACTAATAACACGTTTCCAATTCTCAACCAATGAGCTTGGGAGCTTGTAAGAGACCTCTTGGCCCCAACTTTGAAAAATGATCCTATCTATCCCTATTCTTTTTTTCCCCCTTGAAAGAAAGCTGAAGCTCTGTCTGGACTCTGAAAGGTCCTGCACCAGGTACCTCAATTCACCTAATCCTTTAAAATTGAACCAGGAGATGGTAGCAATCGATCCGTAAATAACTCCTATAGACAGGATTTGCTAGCCACCTTATCCCTTGGGAAAGACTTGGATGAACAATTCCCACCACCAAGGATGAAGAATAACCCTCCATCCTCGAGGAAAACTATATTGACCAGTCACCAAGGAAAACTATATTGACCAGTCACCTACCACGCAGTGACAGATGTTAAGCATTGGTCATTAAGGCACCAACGAACAAGAAGATTGGAGCGGACTTAGAAGCCAGTATACAAGTGATAATTAAGGATGTACATAGATGGATAAGCTTCGAAAATAGAGAGTAAAAGATAATAGCTAGATTTGCATTGGTCCTGAGTCACATTAAGGTTTCATTAAGTCTACTAAGTCATCCCCATTTGGATAAATTTCATATGTTTGTAACTCTGTCATTTGAGAGACGTAGATGAAGCTGATGCAATCATCTGATATTTTAAGTATCAGGTTTGATATGAAACTCCTTAAGAGGATGATTACCCTGATTCCTAAGCAATGATCATTTAACTTTTGCTAGAGTGAATAGAAGAGCATGAAAAGAACTTAAAGCAATATTACTCTAAGAGATGAAGTGTGTTCCAGGGTGGTCGCAAAGGTGATAAGGCAATAAAACTATAAAACAGCTAGACTTTCTTTCAGGAAATAATCAGTTGGAAAATACTTAACAAGGATTACAAATGGTTAGTCCTATATGAAGACTAGTAATGTGATTACCAAGCTACAAAAGCAGATTGTTAGACTGGAAGGCTTCGGTTCAATTGACATGTCAGGGTGTCTTTAAGTTCAGATTCCCATTCTTCCATCAACCTATAGTTTGATATCCTTCGCTAGTTAAAGGAAGAAGTTGCTGAGCATGGTACATCTTCACCTCAAGTCGGAAGGCTAACTCCATCTATTTCTGAACTAAAACACACTTTAAACAGCGATAATCAAACAGAGACATCTAAGGAATTCTCTCTGAATATTTGACATTTGTGTCACTGTCGGTATTCACCAGATTCTTCAAAATGTAAAAGGGTGAATAACTCACATAGTAATTGTATGTGTAGCCTTCTGAGCCTTTAGAATAGTCTGCAACTGTTATCATTGGAGCATTTACACAGCAACCCTGAAAGAAAAAGAACATTTCAACAAGAATGTCTTAACCTAGTATGTTTCATGTGGCAGTAAAGTAAGTTTATATGGGGTACAAAATCCATATATCAAGACGCACGATTTTCCAAACAGATAATTAGAGCAACTACTGTAAGATGACATTGCACATCTATTGCAATTACCAGTTAGTTTCATTAAAAATGATTGGCTTCAGTTAATAATTACAGGAAACTTACCATGCATTCCATTTCTCCAACAGAAAACATGCCATCCTTTGTTACTTCTGCAATAAAAGAGTGTTAGAGACTAACATATAACGTGGGTGTATAAACTTCAAAATTAAAGCATTGAAGATATCTAGCTTCCTGAGAACCAAGATAACTGTATAAGTGGATAACCATGGACCGAAAAGGGCGCATCTCACAAACACTCTTACCATTGCGCTTCACTCCAAGGTGTTTTAGTAGGACTTCCTCAATGTCACGTGAACCGCGTATCATACAAGGTGTTGTCCCACACACCAATAAGTGATATTTACCAACCTGTGAAATCACCAAATTGTTGAGATTCTTGAGAGAATACCGGATGCATGAACAATCCATGCTTTGCTACATGACCTATATTATGCTTCGAGAATATTTGGCCATCCACCTGTTATATAGCCTATTATATTTTCAGAACACATTTTAACCCGTAGTTTAAACGGCCTGAAAATTTGGTGGCAGTTTAAATATTTGATTTGGCTAATTTTCTCCCATATGTAGCATTGCATTCTGTGGCCCCATTCTTATTTTCGGTGATGAGATCCAGATGCATGAATACAAGGATATCTTGTAAAAGCAATTGCACAAGTTCTACAAAGCAAAGACAATAAAATTGAAATGAGCTGCATAAGATAATTAAGACGCACCTTTGTGCGATTAAACATGGAATAAAATGTGGCGACTTCATATACGCGAATAGGAGCAACTTCTATTACCTTAGCTACCTGAATCATAAAATAAGAGTATAGTCAAGGAAACATGCAAATATTAAACACAATTTCATAAGTGATGAAGCAGAGATTAACAAGAAAGGTAATCATATGAAGACTGGAAATTACACGCCTTTTAACAAAATTACAAGCATGAGATGTGAAGCCAACCATGGATAGGGTACTACAATCACAATAATTACTCATAAAACCAGTAACCCTATCCGGGTATTTAGCTACTTGATGCATAAGGAGAAAATAGGCCCAGAAAGATAAGACACCAAGTCAATTGCATTCGAAAGACAAAGAATGGGAGCACATGAAAATCAAGAAAATAAAAGCTGTAAGGATGCTAAGATGCTTGCGTTCTTCATTGGGGAATATCCTTCAAGTACATCCAACAAACAAGGAGGTTGGTTAGCCAGTGCTTTTTCATATACAATGCAAGGAAACACGGTCAAGAGTTACATGATATCTGGTCGTTCTCATAAATCATATAAAACCTGACTGCAGTAACTGATAAATGATAATGCGAAGTAGCTTAGCTAGCTTATCTGACATGTCTAGGTAACAATCTTATAGTAAGTAATTTCCCTCCATGATGTACAAAACAAACTTTACCATCTGAAAGTGCATATGAAAAATATTAAATACTAATCTGAAGCATAATTGTTGAGCAAACATACTGCATTCATTGCTGCGACAGGCAGCCACCCTCCATGCTGTTGTTGGGCAAGATCTAATAGAGGAATTACAGCAGACTGCTTGTAGTTGGAAGGGTAATGGGACAATATCTCCTTCACCTGTAATTAGCAGATGAATGTATTAGCCGTGTTATTGCTTAACAGTATAAACTAAGACAGTTCGAATATCTTCATAGACAAGTGGTGTTATCAAAAGAACAAGTATTTCACAATATCACATCCAATGAAATTTCTTATGCATATGAACTAACTCAATTATTGATTTACTGGGTAGGATAATTCAGATACGTACAATTACTTCCCAACTGTCAAAACGTTTAGAGCACCACTGTGTCATCAGTCATCTTATAAGTTATGTTGTTTTCATAAGCACAAGGAAAACTAGCGGAGTACTCCACTAAATCTCTAGTCGATGCTAACACTGTGATGCACGACTAAATTGCAGACTGATACATATCATATAAACGTATATTACCATGCGAAGAGTAACAGCCCCATCACTATGACAACCTTCATCACATTGCAATCAGATTTAAGATTTTGTCACATGATTCTTCCATTAGTCCAGTGTTTGGTGGGGAAAAAATGTAAGAAGACAATTGAGAATTAATGTTGTATTATTCTCTCTAACAGACTTAGAAAAAAATAATTACAATTCTCTCAATATAATTTTTCTCTAACAAACTTAGAAAAATAAATTACAAATCTTCTCGATCGGATTCCCGATTTACAAAAGAGAAAAAGATTGACGGAGATCCTTCCTTTGTTTAACCTGAGTTCTTCTCGGTGTCGATGGGAGTTCAGATCCTTGTATCCCGTTGATGATCCGAACGTTTCACTTCACTGGAACACGGTTTCTTCCTCTTGATTGATGTTGAGGAGGACTTGCGTGGCAAGTTTAAAAATAACTCTTAACGAGTTTTAGAACTCAGAGTGAGTTTAAACTCTGTAAAAGAGTTGATTAATTTAATCAAATCCGATCAGAAATATCCTCTATTCAAGATCGCCTCCTCTACCCCAGCTCCGATCCTCCCTTTTTAGATCCAACGGTGAAACCCACTATTTATAGGGGTTTAAGGGGTGTAACCGTCCCCTTAAATCTCTCCTTAATGAGGGTTTAACCGCCCCCATTAAGTGGAAAAATGATTTTGAAACCGTTCAGGTTCTTTTTGAACCAGTCAATCGCGAAATTTACGTTCTGGAATGAACTCTGCATCTTGATCCTGGGACGCAAAGTTAGGCTCTGCGTATTGGACTGAAAACGCAATAATAAGCTCTGCATTTTGGACTGAAAACGCAATAATAAGCTCTGCATTTAGATCTGGAACGCAACGATTAACCCTGCGTTTTGGGCTGAAAACGCAACAATGAGCGCTGCGTTTTGAATCTGAAAAGCAGCCACGACCTCTGTGTTTTGAATCTAAAACGCAGCCACGACCTCTACGTCTTGATTTGAAGAGACCGTTAATTTATAGTCTCTTTTACTAGAGCGTTGCAAAGATCGTCATCTTGTAATCTTCGTCTTGGCTTCTTGAAAATATGAGTCGTCAGATTATAACTCCCAATGTTGATTGTGAAGGCTGTTGAATTAGAGCTTTCATCGGTTGTTGAATTAGAGCTTTCATCGGTTGTTGTGAAGGTTGTCAAATTATAACCTTCATCGATCTACGTGAATTTTTTTAAATTGTAGTCTTCTGGAAGCCGTCAAATTGTAACTTTTATTATCGGTGTTTGATGGGGATCAACTATTTGCAGTAACTTTTAGATAGCCTATAGAATCCCCTCCAAAGTTTTCGAAAGTTCGCGATTACCTAGGACGAATTTTCGGAATACTTTGGATCTCAACTTTGATCTTGAAGCTATTAATTCCTTATCATAAAGAAGGTGTTCTCTGTACCTGCTTCGAAGGCATCTTGATTGAAGAGATTTGCCACGTAGGACCGGTGTGAGGATGACCTTCGAAGAGAAACTATAGCGACGACACAAGCTACTCGTGAGCAAAAGCTCTTAAACGTCACGTCACGACTCACATCCATTTAGCTGATAAGCCCGCAAATATTCATAGGATTTTTAGCAAACTCTCAGCCATCAACGGATTTGATAAATCTTTACCGATTACCGTTTGAGTCGGGCTAACATGTGAATTGTCTAAATCTGTTCCACATGTAACGTTGTGCTAAAAGAATAAACTCTCTTAGACTTAGTGCTATGATACCGAATACATAGATTTTGTTAATTTTACGGGAATAGACTACCCGACAATACGTGTTAGGCGTAGACTTATCTTTAATTAGGGATAGAGATAAAGTCCTCCATGCATGAAAGACATGGATTTTTGGTGTTACGATGTTGAATACGTAGACTTCGTCATTATTGCGAGAATATGTCACCCGATAGCATGTGTTAGATGCAGACTTATCTCTAATTAGGAATCAAGATAAAATCCCTCATGCGTGTAAGGTATGAATTTTGATGTTATTAATAACCACCTGCTATGATATTGAATACGTAGGCTTTTATCATTTTTACGAAGAAAGACTAACCGACGACGCGTGTTAGGCGTAGACTTATCTCTAATTAGGGATCGAGATAAAGTCCCCCATGCGTGAAAAATATGGATTCAGATATTATTAATTTAATAATAATCATTGGCTACGATATTGAATACATAGGTTTTGCCATTGTTTCTTCCTATATTATGTTTTCACTTAAAACACTGAAAAAAATTGGAAGTGCCAGAGGTGTAGTATTAACTTGGCATGAATTTTTACTTAGAGTGAAATTCAAATTTTTTTTTATTATTATTAGGATAATTCCAGAAAATCTTTAATCCGTTGGAGATTTTATAATAAAAATATGCTATTTTTGTTAAAAAGGATTAACAAATTCATTAGGGGGTTTAACTGTTAGAGGTGTGATGTTAACCTAACAGTATTTTATGGGCCTATCGCTCTATTGAAGAGAATCGATAAGTTAATTTGGTCATCAGATGTGTGATGTTAACTTGACGGGTTTGTGGACTTATCGCTCTATTGAAAAGAGTCGATAAGTTGATTGTAAGAGATGTTTTGTTAACGTGACAAGATTGTGGACCTATCGCTTTATTGAAGAGAATCGATAAGTTGATTGTCAGAAGGGTAATGTTAACGTGATAAGGTTGTGAACTTATCGCTCTATTGAAGAGAGTCGATAAGTTGTTTGTCAGAGGTGTAATATTAACATGACGTCATCAGAGGTGTAATATTAACGTGATGAAAATATTAGTTGTTAGAGGTGTGATATTAACGTAACAAAATTTATTACGATCGGAACAACTTTATGAACTTATCATCCTATTAAAAATGATTGATAAGTGGATTGTCAGAGGTGTAATGCTAACATGACGTCATCAGAGGTGTAATATTAACGTGATGAAAGGATTGGTTGTCAGAGGTGTGATGTTAACTTGACATAATTTGTTACGAATGAAGCAACTTTATGGACTTATCATCCTATTGAAGAGGATTGATAAGTGAATTATTAGAGATGTTTTGTTAACGTGACAAGATTAGGAGTGATGCAAGATGAATTCATACTCTGTGGGGATGTAAATCGTCAGAAGTGTAATGTTAACTCAACGATGTTTGCAAACCTGTCATCCTATTGAAGAAATTGACAGGAAAATTCGTTACTCTTAATCTAGTGGATTCCAAGCAACCAACTCCCAGTCTTGATTAAGACTTAGAAGGGGAGGAATTTTGCAGTTGACAGAGGTGTTTTGTTGAACATGACAACTTAGAAGATTTGTTACTCTTAACCCAAGGGATTCCAAGTAACCAACCCTTAGTCTTGATTACGACCTATCTGGGAAAGAAAAAAGGATAAACATGACACATCGCCTTGTGGGCTATTATCCATCAAGTCGGAATAGAGACACATCACCTTGTAGGTCACTATCTGACGAGTTTAACTATCAGGGATAACTATTAATGTTTTACGAAGAAAGACTAACCGACGACGCGTGTTAGGCGTAGACTTATCTCTAATTAGGGATCGAGATAAAGTCCCCCATGCGTGAAAAATATGGATTCAGATATTATTAATTTAATAATAATCATTGGCTACGATATTGAATACATAGGTTTTGCCATTGTTTCTTCCTATATTATGTTTTCACTTAAAACACTGAAAAAAATTGGAAGTGCCAGAGGTGTAGTATTAACTTGGCATGAATTTTTACTTAGAGTGAAATTCAAATTTTTTTTTATTATTATTAGGATAATTCCAGAAAATCTTTAATCCGTTGGAGATTTTATAATAAAAATATGCTATTTTTGTTAAAAAGGATTAACAAATTCATTAGGGGGTTTAACTGTTAGAGGTGTGATGTTAACCTAACAGTATTTTATGGGCCTATCGCTCTATTGAAGAGAATCGATAAGTTAATTTGGTCATCAGATGTGTGATGTTAACTTGACGGGTTTGTGGACTTATCGCTCTATTGAAAAGAGTCGATAAGTTGATTGTAAGAGATGTTTTGTTAACGTGACAAGATTGTGGACCTATCGCTTTATTGAAGAGAATCGATAAGTTGATTGTCAGAAGGGTAATGTTAACGTGATAAGGTTGTGAACTTATCGCTCTATTGAAGAGAGTCGATAAGTTGTTTGTCAGAGGTGTAATATTAACATGACGTCATCAGAGGTGTAATATTAACGTGATGAAAATATTAGTTGTTAGAGGTGTGATATTAACGTAACAAAATTTATTACGATCGGAACAACTTTATGAACTTATCATCCTATTAAAAATGATTGATAAGTGGATTGTCAGAGGTGTAATGCTAACATGACGTCATCAGAGGTGTAATATTAACGTGATGAAAGGATTGGTTGTCAGAGGTGTGATGTTAACTTGACATAATTTGTTACGAATGAAGCAACTTTATGGACTTATCATCCTATTGAAGAGGATTGATAAGTGAATTATTAGAGATGTTTTGTTAACGTGACAAGATTAGGAGTGATGCAAGATGAATTCATACTCTGTGGGGATGTAAATCGTCAGAAGTGTAATGTTAACTCAACGATGTTTGCAAACCTGTCATCCTATTGAAGAAA